CAAGCTCTGGCACAGCTGTCCTTGAAAAAGAGCAGTTTGTGTCAGAGCTCTCTCAGCCCCACCCACCTCACAGGGTGTCTGTTGTGGGGAGGGAAAGGGAAAGGAGTTTGTAAGCCGCTCTGAAACACCTTTGGGTAGTGAAGGGCGGGGTATAAATCCAATCTCTTCTTCTTCTTCTTCTTCTTCTTCTTTCCAGAACTATCCTTGAGAGAACAGCTCTGACAGAACTATGCTTTGCCCAAGGTCATCCAGCAGGTGCAAGTGGAGGAGAGGGGAATCAAACCAGGTTCTCCCAGATTAGAGTCCGCACACTACACCAAACCGGGTTTGATTCCCCACTCCTCCTCCACATGCAGCGGCTGCTGTGACCTTGAGCCAGTCACAAGTTCTCTCAGAGCTGTTCTCTCACGGGCAGTCCTCGAGAGAGCTCTCTCAGCCCCACCAACCTCACAGGGTGCCTGTTGTGGGGAGGGGAAGGGAAAGGAGATTGTAAGCCGCTCTGAGACTCCGAGTGAAGGGCAGGGTATACATCCCATCTCCTCTTCTTCTTCTTCTAAATAAAATAAATACATTTATTTGGAACATTTGTTAGCTGCCTCTCTCCGTTGTGGAGCCCAAGGCAGGTTAAGAATAGAAATAAAACAGTTTTAAAAAACAGGAGCCGCATCTGGAAAGATGTCATCAGGAGGCGAGGGTCGGGTGGGAATGTTGTGTGTGTGTGTGGGGGAGAACCTGGGGATATTTTGGCACGGTGGTGGGGTGGGGTTGCCACCCTGCAGGTGCAGCCTAAAGATCTCCCAGAATTCCAGCTGGTCTCCAGACGGCAGAGACCAGTCCCCCTGGAGAAAATGGCTGCTTTGGAGGGTGGACTCTGAGGCCCCTCCCCTCCCCAAACCCCGCCCTCTCCTGGCTCCACCCCCAAATCTGGAATTTCCCAACACGTTTTGGACGATCCTCTTGGTGGGGCTGGGGAAAACTGTGGCGTGGCATTCAGTGCTCCCTCTAAGCTGTGGAGTCTTGTGAGCAAAAGTTCTACTTTGTGAGCTGCTGGCATTCAAGTTGTGAGCCGGCGATTGGCCTGCTGCATCAATTCATTTGCTCCGGAGCCCTCCTTCCCGAGCGGAGACGGAAATGTTTGAGCCGGAGGCTAAAAAACTGTGAGCCAGCTCACACTCACTGGGCTTAGAGGGAACGCTGGTCGCATTCCTGTAGTACTTCGGCACCTCCGAGCACCTTGTGGCCGTTACTTCGGGCTGGGAGAGAGAGACGTTTACCGTTCGACTGACGGCATGGTAGAAGCAAGATTTGCACTCGGGGCTTTGCGGCCCGCTCTGTTGGCCTCTGTGCTACAGACCAGTGGGCGATACAAGGATGCAGTGGAAAGATCCAATCTCTTCTTCTCTTCTTCTTGTGGCCGTTACTTCGGGCTGGGAGAAAGAGACGTTTACCGTTCGACTGACGGCCATGGTAGAAGCAAGATTTGCACTCGGGGCTTTGCGGCCCGCTCTGTTGGCCTCTGTGCTACAGACCAGTGGGCGATACAAGGATGCAGTGGAAAGAGGGGGGCAGGATGGACCGGGGCTAGGGTGGTTGTTGGCGCAGGTTGCGCTTGATAGTAGGGAGAAACCTTTGAGGCTGGTCAAGGCACGACAACACCAGGACCATGGGGTTTTCAAGGCAAGAGAGGCGCAGAGCCGATTTGCCATTGCCTGCCTCCAAGGACTTCCCACGTTGCTTAGCTTCCGAGATCAGGCTAGCCTGGGCGGCCGGGTCAAGGCAGGAGACGTTCAGAGGTGGTTTTGCCCTTGCCTGCCTCTGCGTAGCAACCCTGGACAACCTCGGTGCTCTCCCATCCAAGTACTAACTGAGGCCGACCCCACTTAGTTTCCAAGATCTGATGAGATCGGGCTCGCCTGGGCCATCCAGGTCAAGGCAAGAGCTGAACAGAGGTGGTTTGCCATTGCCTGCCTCTACGTAGCAACCCTGGACTTCTTCTGTATCTCCCATCCAAGTACTAACCAGGGTCAACCCCACTTAGTTTCCGAGATCTGACGAAATCGGGCCAGCCTGGGCCATCCAGGTCAAGGCAAGAGACAAGCAGAGGTGGTTTTGCCCTTTCCTGCCTCTGCGTAGCAACCCTGGATAACCTCGGTGGCCTCCCATCCAAGGCCTAGCCAGGGCCGACCTTGCTGCGCTTCCGAGATCTGACGAGATCGGGCTCGCCTGGGCCATCCAGGTCAAGGCAAGAGCTGAACAGAGGTGGTGTACCATTGCCTGCCTCTGCGTAGCAACCCTGGACTTCTTCAGTGTCTCCCATCCCAGTACTAACTGGGACCGACCCTGCTTAATTTCCAAGATCTGCTGAGATTGGGCTCGCCTGGGCCGTCCAGGTCAGGGCAGACAAACAGAGGTGGTTTTTCTGTTGCCTGCCTCTGCGTAGCAACCCTGGGCGTCTTTGGTGTTCTCCCATCCAAGTACTGACCAGGGCTGGACCTGCTTAGTTTCCGAGGTCTGATGAGATCCAGCAAGTCAGGGCTATTCAGCCTGCCTGAGGACATACTTCGATCCAAATTTCCCTTCTCTTCCTCCAAGGCGGAGAGTTCCTGATGCGGCATGCTTGCGCGGCCCCTCCTTCCCAGAAATGTGCTTTCGTGTTGACCCGTGACGGGCGCCCCGTGAAGATCCAGCGCACCATCTTCAGCGAGTGCTTTTATGTGCTCGGGCTAGATGAGCTCGGGCGTGCGACCGGAGAGCCCCGTTACCGGGTGAGTCCAGGAACACATGAGCACATGAAGCTGCCTGACAGTGCATCAGATCTTCTTTGTCCATCACGGTCAGCCTTGTCTACTCAGACTGGCAGCGGCTCTCCAGGATCTCAGGCAGAGGTCTTTCCCATCACCTCCTGCCTGGTCCTTTTAGCTGGAGATGCCGGGGATTGAACCTGGGACCTTCTGTATGCCAAGCAGGGGCTCTGCCACTGAGCTAGGGTCTCAGGTCAAGGTCTTTCTCATCACTTACTGCCTGGTCCTTTTAACTGGAGATGCCGGGGATTGAACCTGGGACCTTCTGCATGCCAAGCAGAGGCTCTGCCCCTGAGCCAGGGTCTCAGGTCAAGGTCTTTCCCATCACCTCCTGCCTGGCCCTCTTTAACTGGAGATGCCGGGGATTGAAACTGGGACCTCCTGCACGCCAAGCAGAGGCTCTGCCACTGAGCCACGGCCCCTCTCGGCATCACCGCCTTCCCCTGACCCCCACAGGACAGCCCCTAATACACCCTATGAAATAGCTGCTGCAAGGTTAGCTCAGAAGCGAAGCTTGCTCGTACATTACCTCATGGTGCTGCTGTTAGGGGTGACCCTCCAGTCTCCTTGGATGTGGGAATTCCGTGGATAAACCTGGATGACGAAGTACCATGGTCTCTGGGAAGACGTCCTCTCAGCAGGTCGGACCTGACGGTGCTTGCTGACTGCGGACGCTTGCCCGAAGGACCAGCCAGTAACAGGAGGGGTGACGTCGGGTGATGAAACTACCCTACAGGCCAGCGGTAGTGGGGAACCCCTGCTGTACGGCTGCCCCTGCCGGACTCCATGTTGTCACTGAGGATTGGCTTCCGGCAGCCATTTTCTTTCTGGGAAGCGAGGAAGAAGTTCTTGGGCTGTCGCCTAGCAACTCTATCTGGTTGCTTGGTGAAGCGGAACTGTGTTGCTGGGTTCCATTCTCTCTTTCTCTCTCCCCTTCTAAGCAGCAGGGCCCAGAACGTTCACGCTTGCCTAAGGTTGCCAACCTCCAGGTGGGACCTGGAGATCTCCCACTATTAATCTCTAGGCAATAAAGAGCAGATCCCCTAGAGAAAATGGCTGCTTTGGAGGGCGGACTCTGCGGCAACATATCCCATTGAGGTCTGTCCCGAAACCCCACCTTCCCCCTCAAATCTCCAGGTATTTTCCCACCCAGAGCTGGCAAACCTACCTGAGAGGACAGCGATCAGTTCCCCCGGAGAAAATGGCTGCCATAGAGGGTGGACTCTGTAGGCTAGTTTGGTGTAGTGGTGAGGAGCGCGGACTCTAATTTGGGAAAACCCGTTTTGATTCCCCACTCCTCCACTTGCAGCAGCTGGTGTGACCTTGGGTCAGTCACAAGTTCTTTCAAAGTTCTTCTCTCAAGAGCAGTTCTCAGAAGAGCTCTCTCAGCCCCACCCGCCTCACAGGGTGTCTGTTGTGGGGAGGGGAAGGGAAAGGAGATTGTAAGCTGCTCTGAGACTCCCGAGTGAAGGGCGGGGTATAAATCCAATCTCCTCCTCCTCTTCCTCTTCTTCTTCCTCTCCTCCTTCTCCTCCTCCACCTGTCATCTAGATGGAGCTATGATTTTATATGGAGGAGGGCGGGTTTTGTGTGGCTGAGAAGTAAACACTGTGGTGGGACTCCAGGATTTTGACATCTCTGGGGTTTATGCAGGAGGCAGCCCTGAAGATGATGGAGGCCATCGTGCACTGGGTGCGGGAGGATCCCTCCGAGCTGGGGCGTCCACAGCTAACTGGAGCCACCCCTCACGACTCCATGGCCGTTCCCATGATGCTCCTCAACCTGGTGGACCAGCTGTCGGAGGGAGACGCCGAGGCCATGAGCCGATTCGCCGAGCTCGGTAGCTGGTCGGCTCAGCGAATCCTTCTGCACGTGCAGGTATGGCTGCTACCAGGGGGCATTTCATAGAAAAAGAAGTGCAGGTGCTCATTAGCATAACTTATTTGCATATGCCACGCCCCCTGACATCACTGGAAGTGTGTCAGAAGGCAACACCCACCGCTCAGGCTCCACTGGACTGTTTTGGATTGCTAGTTATTGGCGGAGGGGGAACGTGCAGATCTGTCCTCGCGGAGGAGGGAGAGCTTGTACCTGAATAAAACGTGGTCTTAAAGGTGCCACTGGACTGTTTTGGACTGGAGGCTGGGAGGGAGCTCTGCAACTTACCTGGCTGCTTCTTGCTCTGACTGAGGGCTGCTGGGAGCAGGGGGTGGGGCTTGTTGCATGTGCCCGCCCCCTGGGCTCTTTACTGCCGGAGCTCCGCTCCTGTGTGCTCCTGCAGGAAATGACCCCTGGCTGCTACTCTGGCCCTCGAGGCCTCGCTTGTGTTGCGTGTCGTCTTCGTTATCAATGAGTCCCTCATATTTCCCTATAGAGGAACGGCACCGCTGTGTTGGAGAACGTTTCGGAAGACGGCGAAGAGCTGCCGGGGTGCATGGGACGACAACAGAATCCTGGTAAGGGGACGAGTGCGAGTCTTCGAAGGAGAATAATATCGTGATGACGATTCAACACGCTTGTGCAAAACAGCAGAACTGCAGGTCCTGCTGACGGATTTCCCATTAGGAGATAGTTCCAGAGGGTAGCAGCCGTGTTGGTCGGCCGTAAAAGAGCGAGATTTGAATCCAGTCGCAATGTAGAGACCTACAATATTTTTTTTGGGGGGGGGGTGTTAATGAGAAGAAGAGGAGGAGGAGATTGAATTTATACCCCACCCTTCACTACGCATAGGAGTCTCAGAGCAGCTTACAAACTCCTTTCCCTTCCCCTCCCCACAACAGACTGTCATGAACATAAATAGTGTACTCAGGGGTCATATTGTACAAAAAGAGGTGCAGGAGGTAATTAGCATAACTTATTTGCATATGCCACACCCCCTGACATCACCGGAAGTGTGTCAGAAGGCAACACCCACCGCTCAGGCTCCCCTGGATTGTTTTGGATTGCTAGCTATTGGGGGGGGGGGACGTGCAGATCTGTCCTCGCGGAGGAGGGAGAGCTTGTACCTGAATAAAACTTGGTCCTAAAGGTGCCACTGGACTGTTTTGGACCAGGGGGCTCTGCAACTTACTTGGCTGCTTCTTGCTCTGACTGAGGGCTGCTGGGAGCAGGGGGTGGGGCTTGTTGCATGTGCCCGCCCCCCTGGGCTCTTTACTGCCGGAGCTCCGCTCCTGTGCGCTCCTGCAGGAAATGACCCCTGAGTGTACTAGAGAATGATGGAATACTGACGTAGTGTCAGAGGTCGCAGATAGGAAAAAATCCACACACCCCACCCCCAGAATACAGCCTGGATCACGATTCCTGCAAAACAGACCACGCAGCAGTGAGAATGCCCCGCCACGTTGGTCACTGGGTACAGCTAGTCGTGAGAACGGCTCGGTGATCCCGGCTGCCTCTTCCCCTCCGTCTCTCCCAGGCCATGCCATCGAAGCCGGCTGGTTCTTGCTTCGCCACGCCCAGCGCCAGCGGGATGCAGGCCTCGTCTCTCAGGCGGTGGAGACGTTCATGAAACGGCCGTTCCGTTCGGGCTGGGACCCTGAACATGGGGGTCTGTTTGCTTTCCAAGACGTCGACGGGCTCTGCCCCACCCAGGTATGGTTCTTTGAACAGGGTTGCTGGTGCCGGGTTGAGAAATTCGTGGAGATCTGGGGGCCGTGCCTGTGGTGGGTGGAACCCGGAGAGGGATTTCACCTTGAATCTATGGTATACTGTAGAGCAGGGGTGTCGAACTCATTTGTTATGAGGGCCGGATCTGACATGAATGAGACCTTGTTGGGGCGGGCCGTGTGTGTCATAGAATGTAATGCCAGGCAGCGGAGATATAAACTTTATAAAGGACACAAACACAAAGGGGTTTTTTAAACTTAAAATAAAAACACGCTTTAAACATCAGCCCTCTTGCAATATTTTGTTCATTGAACAGTGTCTGATCACTGGCCCCTCTTGCTCTGAATTATTGCATCAAAATGTCTGTGCTGTGTTGCAGTCTTGAGTATGCTGCTCAGGTGTGTATCTGTAAGCTGCAAACCTACGATGACGCAGCAGCGGCAGAACTTGAAGAAGAAGCAGAAAACAGCCAGTTCCACTGCGGGCCTGAGAGAAGCCCTCCGGGGGCCTCATTTGGCCCCCGGGCCGCATGTTTGACACGCCTGCCATAGCGCTTGGCCTCTCAAGCTGCCCTTCCCTCCAGGGAAACTGATCACTGTCGCCTGGAGATCAGTTGTGATTCCAGGAGATCTCCAGGCCCCACCTGGGGGTGTTTCAGTGCAGTTGTTTGTTTGGTCTTCCAATTTTGTGCAAGTATGATTTTTCCCGCCATCAGTAATAAGGATATTAGTTCTTTTTTTTCCTTCCCGAATGTGTGATTGGTCGTCCTGAACAGTAGTTAAGTAGGATCGATCCTGGTGTGTTTGGTATTTATCGACCCACTGTTGCCCCTACCTTTTTAGTGATTATTTCCCGGTAACTGTAAATCTTAGGACAGGTCCACCAGCAGTGGAAAAAGTCCTGGTCTGGCCACAGCCTTTCCAACAGTTCAGGTCAGATTTAAGTTTGCAGCAGTAGAAACCCTATTCTTTGACTACCTCCCCTCTCCATCAGGTTGATTTCCCCTCACCTCCCAGTGTTTCCTCTAAGCTGAGTTAGTGTGAGCCAGCTCACAGTTTTCCCCAGGCCGCATCTTTGACACGCCTGCCATAGAGCTTGACCTCTCAAGCTGCCCTTCCCTCCAGGGAAACTGATCACTGTCGCCTGGAGATCAGTTGTGATTCCAGGAGATCTCCAGGCCCCACCTGGGGGTGTTTCAGTGCAGTTGTTTGTTTGGTCTTCCAATTTTGTGCAAGTATGATTTTTCCCGCCATCAGTAATAAGGATATTAGTTCTTTTTTTTCCTTCCCGAATGTGTGATTGGTCGTCCTGAACAGTAGTTAAGTAGGATCGATCCTGGTGTGTTTGGTATTTATCGACCCACTGTTGCCCCTACCTTTTTAGTGATTATTTCCCGGTAACTGTAAATCTTAGGACAGGTCCACCAGCAGTGGAAAAAGTCCTGGTCTGGCCATAGCCTTTCCAACAGTTCAGGTCAGATTTAAGTTTGCAGCAGTAGAAACCCTATTCTTTGACTACCTCCCCTCTCCATTGGGTTGATTTCCCCTCACCTCCCAGTGTTTCCTCTAAGCTGAGTTAGTGTGAGCCAGCTTTTAGCCTCCGGCTCACACATTGTTTTGTCTTAGCTCAGGAAGGGATGGCTCCAGAGCAAACTAACTTGTGCAGCAGCCCAGTCGCTCCCTCGCAACTTTAATGCCAATCGCTCACAAAGTAGGATTTTTGCTCACAAGACTCCACAGCTCAGAGGGAGCACTGCGTCCCCACGCAGTTAATTGCTGCTGCTGCTAGGAATAACTATCTCCCCACCCACCCCCACCTTTCCCACCCTTTACTTCAGCTAGAGTGGAGAATGAAACTTTGGTGGCCTCACACGGAAGCCATGGTGGCGTTCCTCATGGGCTTTGCCGAGACTCGGGACCCGGAGCTCCTGGAAATGTTTGACCAAGTCGCGAAATACTCGTTTGCCAAGGTAAGCTCAAAGGAGAAGACTTCCTGAATTCTGGTTCAGCTTTGGAGGGAAGCGGGGGGTCTCCAAAAGAAGAAAGGGATGACTGAATTTGACCTGGATGGCATCTCCTGATAAAAGCATGGGGGTGGTAGGTGATGGGAAAGACCTCTGCCTGAGACCCTGGAGAGCTGCCTGTCAGACTCCCATCGCATCAACAAAGCACACACTTGTAGAAAAGGTATTACTTTATTTGAAGCAATAGGTGCATAAAAGGATCACTGTTCAGAATGAGGCATAAGCATAGATGCCAATAGATTATAGTTAATTCAAAAAGCTGAGGCCCAATTGCGGGATTTCCCGCACGCGCCATTGAGCCTGGGAAGCAACGCTTCTACTTAATCATAACATACTGCTTCTCGTGGATAATGCCATGAGATCACCCAAGCTACTACCCGCTAGCAACCACCTGTGGCCCTGAGAGATACAGACGTTCCTGCAACTAGGCAATTAAGCGCATCAACAGCCATACATGGGAAAGCGAAAGCAATCAAGCGCATGCCCATAGAATAGGGAAACATAAGAGCATACACAGAGAATAGGGAAACATATTGGCAGCTTGCTGACACTGCCGCCAGTCCAAGTAGAAAAAGATCGAACTTGATGGAGTGGTGGTCTGGTTCAGTAGAACAAATTTAGAGTCCAGTGGCACCTTTAAGACCAGCAAAGGTTTATTCAAGGTCTTGAGCTTCCGGTTGCAAGGCACACTTTCTCAAATACATGGGAATGGAAGGTTAGAGTTCAGACTTATGGACAGAGGCGGAACAGCAAATGAACATGTAACGTGATGCTGTTCAAGATACGCAAAGTGAAAACGAAATAACAATTTAGTTTTGTTCAACTAAATAACAAGTTAAGGTTATTAGGTCAACAGTTGTAAACGGGTCATTTCGTAGAAAAAGAGGTTCAGGCACTCATTAGCATAACTTATTTGCATACGCCACGCTCCCTGACATCACTGGAAGTGTGTCAGAAGGCAACACCCACCGCTCCCCCCTGGGCTCTTTACTGCCGGAGCTCCATTCCTGTGCACTCCTGCAGGAAATGACCCCTGGTTGTAAAGCAATAAATGTGTCAAAGTAGCAGATAAAGGTGTAAAGGTGTATTTTCTAATTGTGGGAAGCAAACCTAGAATCTCAGTTGAACAGATCTTTGTTGAACAAATCTCGTTAGCAGCCCTTGACCATCTTTTAGTTTGATACACGTTTTTCTTCATGGTGTTTCGCTTACTGAGAGACCTGGGGAGTTTACCCTCTTTCTCCTTCTTCCCCTAGTTCAGGGATCCAGAGGCTGGGGAGTGGTTTGGCTACCTGACCCAGGACGGCCGCGTGGCACTCTCCGTCAAAGGAGGACCATTCAAAGGTAAACGGTCTTGACACGGAAGGGTGAGGAGAAGAGGAAACGGGGGGTTGTCTGACTGAGAGTTTCTTTCCGACCTCAGGAATTCCCCAAACATCAAGCCGTCAAACCGCCTTTATTCATCTAAACCATGCCTTTATTCATCTAAAACATGTCTTAGCCACCTTCTGAGCTCAAGGCATCTTAACAGCATCGGTCAAATGCATTCCTCTTACCAACAGGGTTGCCAGCCTCCAGGTGGAGCCTGGAGATCTCCAGCTTTTACAACTGCCCCCCAGCGGACAGAAATCAGCTCCCCTGGAGAAAATGGCTGCTTTGAAGGGTGGACTCTCTGGCCTTGTACCATGCTGAGGCCCCTCCCCCAAACCCCGCCCTCTCCTGGATCCACCCCCAAAGTCTCCAGGTATTTCCCAACCCAGACCCGGCAACCCTACTTACGAGTCGGTAACCGCAAAATGGCTGCTGCAGGAGGCGTATCCAACCACAAAATGGCTGCCACGGTCGCTAGAATGATTGGTGAGGGTTGTAAGGCGGCGCGAAATGAGAGAGGTTCTCTCAAAAAGTAGGGCTTTTCTGCAATAATGCTTCCACCCCCAAAGTCTCCAGGTATTTTCCAACCCAGACCCGGCAACCCTACTTACCAGTCGGTAACCACAAAATGGCTGCTGCAGGAGGCATAGCCAACCACAAAATGGCTGCCACGGTCGCTAGAATGATTGGTGAGGGTTGTAAGGCGGCGCGAAATGAGAGAGGTTCTCTCAAAAAGTAGGGCTTTTCTGCAATAATGCTGCTTAAGAGCGATGCCATCCACACGTCTGGGATATCATAGGTGCTATTAGGTAGGGTTGCCAGCTCCGGGTTGGGAAAACAAGGAGATTTTGGGGGTGGAGCATGAAGGGGGTGTGGCTTGGAGAGGGGAGGGACTTCAGTGAGGTATCATGCCATAGAGTCCACCCTCCAAAGCAACCATTTTCTCCAGGGGAATTGATCTCTGTCACCTGGAAATCAGTTGTAATAATAGATCTCCAGGCACCACCTGTGGGCTGTATCAATATAAAGACACTCCGTGAATGAATTACAGACAAAGGCAGGAAGATTATATTATAAGCAGGTGCAAGTGGAGGAGTGGGGAATCAAACCCGGTTCTCCCAGATTAGAGTCCGCACACTTAACCACTACACCAAACTGGCTCTCCGGTGATTGGTGAAGGTTGTAAGGCAGCGCAAAATGAGAAGAGGTTCTCTCAAAAGCAGGGCTTTTCTGCAATAATGCCGGCTTTGTTCCAGCTTAAGAGCGATGCCATCCACACGTCTGGGATATCATAGGTGCTATTAGGTAGAGTTGCCAGCTCCGCCTCAAACTCCCCCCCCCCCGCAAGGCAGTTGGAATGACATATGCATATGGAATCTGCTGTATTCTGGTGGTGTGCAGGTCCCAGATTCATGTTTTAAAAGCAGACTGACACTGTTTGCCCAAAGCCAGAGCACTCTCCCAGAGCCTCTTTCTAGATCTCGTTGTATTTATTTCCACAACGGGCCTTATTTCTAGTCTTTTGTATAAAAGAATTGAGGAGAACAAAGGTTCTACGTCTTGCAGGAGTCACAGCTATACACGGCTGGCTTCCCTTCCGCGTTCTGCTTCTTCAGATAGCTGGTACTCTTCCGCTGTAAAACTGAAAATACACTTCTGTGTCACATCCAACACTCCCTCTAAGCTGTGGGATCTCGTGAGCAAAAATTCTACTTTGTGAGCTGCTGGCACTAAAGTTGTGAGCGAGCAATTTGGCCCCTGTGTAAATCAGTTTGCTCTGGAGCCCTCCTTCCTGAGCTGAGACAAAACATGTGTGAGCCAGGGGCTAACAGACTGTGAGCTAGCTCACGCTAACTCGGCTTAGAGGGAACACTGGTCACATCCACTATATTATAACATATTTACTACATCCCCAGTTGTCAGCACATACATACTCACTGAGTATGTATCCCCTGCTTCAAACCAAAATGGTATTCCACAAAACCTCGAGAAATGGGAAATTCCTGGAGATTTGGGAGTGGAACCTGGGGAGGGTGGGGTTTGAGGAGAGGAGGGGCTGCAGTAGGGTATGCTTTCACACACACTAAATAACACTCAGCCCACTTTCAAGGCACTTTGCAACTGGATTCTGCTGTGCGAAATGGCAGAGTTCACTTGCAAACGCTCGCTGAAGTGTGTTACGTCTTTTGCTATATTAAAAGCCATGTTAAGCTTGAGAGGAAAAGGATTGTAAGCTGTAACAATACGATTGGCTAATGTAGGAATGTATCCAATCAGAGTGCAGAGAAATGTTCTGGAGGGAACTGATCTGATTGGATGTTATCTTTGCAGTGCCATTGGTCCTTAACGATTCTAGGGCGTGGTTACAACAGCCCGGGATAGTCGAAAAGGAGCCCTGCTCCACTGTTTGTTGTTGTGTGTTCTTCACTGTTCCTGTTTGAAACTAATAAAGCTGATTCACTGTTACCTACGAGACGGCGTTGAATCAATACTTAACAAAGTGGATTGAAGCTCTGCATTGTTTAGCATGCGTGAAAGTGATACAATCCACCCTCCAAAGCAGCCTTTTTCTCCAGGGGAGCCGATCTCTTCCGTCTGGAGATCAGTTGTAATTCCGGGAGCTCTCCAGGCCCCGCCTGGAGGGTGGCAACCAATGTTCCCTCTAAGGTGTGGCGTCTTAGAAGCAAAAATCCTACTTTGTGAGCTACTGGCATTAAAGTGAGCGAGCAATTTGGCTGCTGCATCACTTAGTTTGCTCTGGAGACATCCTTCCGGAGGCTAAAAAACTGAGCTGGCTCGCACTAACTCAGCTTAGAGGGAACACTGGTGGCAACCCCAATTCCTTTTGTTTTTCTCAACCACATGTTTTTCTCTTTAGGCTGTTTCCACGTGCCCCGCTCTCTGCAGATGTGTAAGGAAATTCTGGAGTTGCTTATTAAGGAGGCGGAATCCCTCAACCAGGAATGAAACGCTCTTCGGAGTCCAGGGCCGGGTCGCCTCCATATTCTTACTCAAGACGGGCCCGGATTCTCGCCGGATCTCCCGAGAAGCCACGCGTAACACTCCCGTTGTCTGCGGCTCACTCCAAACTGCCATCTTTCGACACGAGACTTGGCTGTCCTGTTTGAAAGAAGCTTGCTGTGGCGACAGTTCCCTGGCTGTGTTTCTCGGAGGGGGGGGGGGCAGCTCACGTGAATAAACGGGATTTGTAGGTGTCAGATCCTGGGAAGGCGGGGGAGGGGGATTTGTATGCCCTGCTCATCAGTGCCTGCCTGTGTGCATTATGAATCAATAAAAACAGATATATGATGAAGGGAAACCGAATCGTGGGACTTTACTCATTTGGCTGCTTTAGCATATGAAAATATTCAGGTAGCGGAGATATCAACTTCATAAAGGAAACAAACACAAAGGTGTTTTTTTTTACTTAAAATAAAAACATGCTTAAAACATCAGCACTCTTGCAATATTTTGTTTATTGAACAGGGTCTGATAACTGACACCTCTTGCTCTGAATTATTGCGTCAAAAATGTCTTGTGCTGCTGCAATCTTGAGGTGTGCATCTGTAAGCTGCAAACCTACGATGACGCAGCAGCAGCAGAACTGGGAGAAGCAGAAGAAGAACAGCCAGTTCCACTGCGGGCCTGATAGAAGCCCTCCGGGGGCCTGATCCGGCTCCCAGGCCGCATGTTTGACACCCCTGCTCTAAGAGCTGGTGTGGTTGTAGTCAGAGGATCGAACTAGGATCTGGGAGACTCGGGTTCGAATCCCTTGTCTGCCATAGAAACTGGTTGGCTGACCCTTGGGCCACTGACATTCTCCCAGCCTAACCTACCTCACAGGGTTGTTGTGAGGATAAAATGGAGGAAGGAAGGAAGCCGTGAACCTCTTTGGGTCCCCGCCGGAGAAGAAAGTGGGGTATAAAGGAATTAAATAAAACCGATTTCGGAGAGAGGCTTACCTCTCAGGGCTCAGCTACATTATGACGGTCTTTGTCTTTTAAAACCATGTTCCCCACCACCCCCCTGTTGCAAATGGAGACGCCGGTGCTCTTAAAGATGGACATCTGCTTGGAGAGAGGGACAGTTTAGACCAGGGGTGGCCAAACTTGCTTAACGCAAGAGCCACACAAAATAAACGTCAGACGTTTGAGAGCCACAAGACATGGACAGATTTACACACGTTTTTATTGAAAAATATGCACACTTAACATAAGGACATAAGAGACGCCAATGTTGGATCAGGCCAAAGGTCCATCCAGTCCAACACTCTGTATCACACAGTGGCCAGAAATACCAGTGCCATCAGGAGGTCCACCAGTGGGGCCAGGACCTCTGCTCCAGATGTTTATCCAATTCTCTCTTGAAGCCATCCGTGCTTGTAGCCGCCGCCACTTCCTGTGGCAGTGAATTCCATGTGTTAATCACTCTTTGGGTGAAGAAGTACTTCCTTTTATCCGTTCTAACCCGACCGCTCAGCAATTTCATGGAGTGCCCACGAGTTCTTGTATTGTGAGAAAGGGAGAAAAGTACCTCTTTCTCTACCTGCTCTATACCATGCATAACCTTATAAACCTCGATCATGCTTTTATTAATATTAAACTGATAACTTTAGATGGGGAGGGAGGGGAGAAAGAGAGAAAGAAAGGTGGAAAGAAAGCAAATAGATGAGGGAGGGAGGGAGAGGTGGAAAGAAAGCAACTTTAATGTTAAATGCATCCTCCAAGCCCCCCCCCCCCACCGGCTACGTTGGCTTGGGGGAGGGATTTTAAAACGTCATTTAAAGTTCAAGTTGCCTTCTGTCTCTGCACTGGCTGGGGAAGGGAAGACTGATCGGGGAGGCATGCCTCCCCTTGGAGCCGTGCAATATGTGTGAAAGAGCCACATGTGGCTCCCGAGCCACAGTTTGGCCACCCCTGGTTTAGACCTTACCTCTTCTTCTGTTTTCGTGCTGCAAAAAGCTACCCTTAAGCTGATCTTTTTTTCCCCTCCCTTCTGATGGGGAAATGTACCCATAGTCTCTCGCTTCCCCAGTACGGCAAAAGCACTTCAAGGGTGATTTTTTTCTAGTGAGAAAACGGCATGGAAGGAAAGGGTTAAAGATCCCTTCTCTCCCCTCCTTGTTAAAGCAGTCCCGGCCGCTCAGTTTGCGGGAGAACAAAAGGTTGATTCGAAATAAATATGGAAGGAATCCATGATTATATAGTTGTGGGTATTCACGGAGGTCCAGGCGATATCATTTCAGTCCGTAGATGTGAGCTTGTATCTTTGTGAGCTACTGGCGTTAAAGCTGTGAGCGAGTGATTTGGCTGCTGCATAACTTAGTTTGCTCTGGAGCCATCCTTCCTGAGCTGAGACAGAAATGTGTGAGCTGGAGGTTAAAAAACTGTGAGCTAGCTCACACTAACTCAGCTTAGAGGGAACACTGGTTGTGGGTATTCACGGAGGTCCAGGTGATATCATTTCAGTCCGTAGATGTGAGCTTGTATAATTGAACTAATTCCATTAAACTGAATAATTCCATTAAGACGTTTCCTGCATACAGAAAAGCAGCGTTCCAAGGATTCTAGCTTCACATTTAATGATAGAATCATAGAGTTGGAAGGGATCTCCAGGGTCATCGAGTCCAACCCCCTGCACAGTGCAGGAAATTCATCAATACCTCACCCCCAGTGACCATTGTTCTATGCCCAGAAGATGACAAAAAACCCTCGAGGATCCCCGACCAAATTGGTCTGTTCCACTGGGGAACCTCTCTAACTGTCAGGAAGTTCTTCCTAATGTTTAGCCGAACTCTTCGGATTTAATGTCAACTGGTTGGTTCTGGTCTGACCTTCTGGGGCAACAGGAAACAACCCCGCACCATCCTCTGTTTGGATGCAGGGTTCAATACATGCAGGGTTCGTTTCTTAGAAAAAGAGGTGCAGCAGCTCA